TTTTTTAATTTGACCTGCATGGGTGAAATATAGAGATAAGAGTGAAGCGATGCACTTCCTCCCTCCATGACTGATGTTGTGTTCTGAGTGAGAAAGAGTGAAGAGCTGCCACATGAAATAGGAGTTAATGTGCTGTTCCCACACATGTAAAGTGGAGTGATGCCATTGCAAGAAAGTAGTGCACAAGCAAAGATACACATTGTTTTGTGCATAGTCTTATCTGTTAAGTGTCACAAAATGCAAAATGTTTTGTCAGTGTTATTTCTATAATAACACTGACAAATATAATATGCAAAATTCCTGAGTGAAGCACTACAGGCCGTCTTCCCCTGTGGACCTTTGTTTTGAGTCTTCTTTGCCTCTTCCTACATTTCCTATGAATGATATCAGGAGTGAAGATGTTTGAAAGTCAACAGAGAAGCTTGAGCATGTGGGGAATAAGTGTGAATAATTTGGTTGTTTAGAATTTGAGAGTACTAAGTTGTGATTTCCTTTGACATGACTTGGAAGTTAATGGTAGAGCTACACAAAGACATTTGATGTGACTTATTTTGATAGTTGTTTAGTGATATTTAATTGAATTGAAATTACCCAAATGTTTGTAGCATGTGGTCCCATGCGTGCTGCCTCCAAGCCAAGGTGAAAGGTCAGACTGTCAAACAGGAGGTGGATGAATCCAATTTGATTTATAGAAGGGGGAACCCGGATTGTACTAAGCGGGGTAGAGAACAGAGGGGTGTTTGGCTGCTGCTTGAAACAGCAGTTGTACAGGTTGTATGTTGAAATGTCAGCCAATCATATGAACTTTGAAGGCCAACTTAGTACTTTTCAGAACAACACCCAGAGGAAAGACTGAAAAGCTTTAAGAAAGATGCTGTCTTTGTCTCTGACTAAGTGGATTAAGGGGTTACAGGGCTTCTGTAACCTTGGTTTGGAGGTTTGAAAATTCCTGCCTTGCTTTCCTCGCCAGTTGCAATCAATTCCACCATGCCACCAGTCCCACTCGCATTAGGAGTATTATTCAGAATACTTTTGACATTAAACTTTGGATGTTGAACTTGAAAAATCATGGATAAACCTGTGTTTGAACCCATGCCTCCAAGTTACTGTGCAGGTGTCTAACCCATTGAGCCACCAAGCCAGACCAGGAGACACTGTCCTCCTGAAAGCTTTTTATTCTGTCCTCTGCGTGTTGGTCCTGAAAAGTAGTAAGGTCAAATAAGATTCAAACTCAGGGCTGAATCAGCAACCCCACCAATGTTTCAGTGACACCCCTCCAACATAAAGAATCCACCTTGAAGTCATTAGGTTTTTTGGGGTTTTTTTTTGCTCTTTTACACCATGTTCAGTATTAAGATTTAAGACCAGTCAAAAGAAAACCCAACTGAAAAGCACATGCATCCAGTCTTCTGAAGAGAGAGAGCTGTTTTAATGTCAAATTTCCCAACAAATTTGGTCAGCCCACTCAAGATCAGTCATAGCCAGCGACATTCAATGGAGCAACTCACAGTGTGAAAGGAAGCATTGTTGCCAGACAGAAACACAACATGGCACGCAGTCTGAGGAAGACACAGATGAGGAAACTCTTCATGAACAGTCTGCCTCATTTTTACTGCGTAGGAGGAATAAGAAATGAGTTGCATTTCACTGCCGTCACTAAACACACTGTAACTGCTGTCTTCATTCCTCTCACTGAGATGTTCAGTCTCCAGTGGCGCCAGTAGGTCACACTTTGAAACAAACCAGTATTGTTTTACACGAAATGAGGAATCTTTGCTGTGAATATGTAAATAATCCTCTTCTTTTTGGATTTAGTCCGGGTTTTAGGAAGAATGACGACTTAAGATTCCCTCCTTGTTTGGGTTGATTGGCAGGTGTTCATTGAAATGCAGCTGAAAGAGCTTCCTGTCCACACAATGATGGGCGCAAAGCCCGTGAATGACCCAGGTAAATGTCAGGACACCTTACAGAATGGGGTTTTGTTCGACCAGAGGAGGTTCCAGAGTGGTCCTGAAAGGTCTGAACCATTATGTCAACCCATAAAGTGGAGATATTTCAAGGTTCACCGGGCATTTTTTTCATCCTTTTCCCTTCCCTTACGCATCTTAGTCCTCTCAAAGACCGAGACAGTACCCTGGATATTACATTTTAGAATTTCGGTAGCCATTTTTGTTTCATGTTTCAAAAACAACCTCCTTATTTAATGGCTTTCACCTGCAATTAGTCTTGAAGGCACAAATAACACTAAATAATATATTAAATTAGTCGGTTCTGCCTTCTCCCTTGTTAATATTTGAACTTTTCCTTCATGCAAGAGGTCGATGTGATTAATTTTTCAAGCTGTCATTTAATTATTATCTTATTTACTATCATTATTAGCTGAATAAGTAAGGGCTCACTGAGTTGTTGTGGGGTGTCTGGTCCCAGTGCTCTTACCGTTCTAATTAAAACTCATCAAAACATGATTGTTTTGCGACAACTCTCTTATGGAAACTGGGAGGATGGCTGATAATTTCCACTTATAAATTTCTAATTACTAACACTGGCATTCATACTCATGAGCTGGGGAAGGTGCTAACGCATGCAAGGCACAGCTGGATTACTTAGTGAGGGGGGGGGGTCATGGGGCTAAAATGTGTCCTGAGCCACTACCAAAAACATTCACACATAATTTAGTCCAAATTGTTGATGCAGAACCTTCATCATTATACAGCACTGAGTTAACACATCTCACAAATAATACATTTATTTTTTTTAAAAAAGGCTCAGTAATTTCCTAAAACACCTGGGTTGTTTAGTTTTTAGCAAATGCACAAAAGCACACAAATCTTAAAAAAGTACATTTACCTCCAGTTTCATCTTTACTTGTATTTAGTAATTCTCCTGAAGAGACTGCATCCTCTGGTGTCCTGGTGGCTCACCTGCTAGAGTTGTGCTCCATAAAGGCTTTGCCCTAACCACAGCAACCCGGATTCAAATCCAGCTTGTGGCCCTTCGCTGCATGCCATCCCTGCCTTTTCTGTCACTGTTGCTATCACAATAAAGACCAACAATTGGCTGTAAAGATGGTTCTCTTGGTTGCAAAAGCTGCATATACAATATTATCTGTCTTAAAATATCATCAGATCAATATCAAAGAATGTTTTCACATGATTTTATGTTGAGTTTGAGGCATCAATCCTGCCACAAGGTCCATTTTTTCATTTGTAAAATGATTCTAAAACGGCTAACAGAGATTTACTTTTGTGATACAACCATTATAATATAATATAATATAATATAATGCAAGACTTCAATATTTGTCAAATCAATTGCTCAGAAACAAAGTAGACACATTCCCTTTGAATTAAGGAGAGGAAGAAGACAATGGAGAGAGACAGTAGTGGCCTCGCCCCCCCGGGGCGCCCGCCGGCCCTCCAACTCACCCATCCACCCCACCCCACCCCCTCCATCTTCCTTTCACTTTTCAATTAAGAGTGCAGGCAGACACCTCAGCGTGGCTGGCATCGCCGTCCTAATCCTCCAGAGAATAAAAAAGAGCATTAGCGGTCATATGTCGGCCAGATTTGTCCCATTATTCATTAGAATTAATTGCTTCCCTGTACTCCCGGCCTTTCCCAGGAAGGCAGCGCTCCACCGACGTCTTTGCTGTAATATGAGCGCAGGACTTAAAGCTGTCATTCAAATCTCACTGTGACCTTTAGGGAGAAAAGGATGTTTTTCACCCAGTTTGCAGGGATGAAATCCAGTGTGTGTGTGTGTGTGTGTGTGTGTGTGTGTGTGTGTGTGTGTGTGTGTGTGTGTGTGTGTGTGTGTGTGTGTGTGTGTGTGTGTTAGTGTACTTCTATCCTTGTGAGAACCAACCTGAGTGAGGATGTTTTGGCTGGGTGCAACCTGACCCGATGTTTTACAATCACAGACAGAATAGCAACATTTAACAGGAAACTAAATCCTTCTGAACTCCACCTCCATCATTATATAAAGATAAACTGGGAGGACTAAAAATATCCACAAGATACCTGGATATTTACAGTAGCCTTGTTAAACAACAGAGGTCAGCAGTGAGGCAGGAGATGCTTCCAGAACAGGTTGACATACCAGTACACCAAAAGGTCCATTTAGTAGGCTTTCTGGAGCTTTCGATCATATCACATCCTCAGCAGATGTCAGTCAGTTGCAGATTACATTTTCTTCTGCAGCCAACTCATTTTGCTTTTAACTACTATTTCTGATAACAAGAATGGACTTCAAACATCAACTTAAGTTATTGTTATAATGAGAATAAGGTTATGACATTAAAAATGAATAAAGAGAAAAAGAAACCATCTTTCCTGTCCCGTTCACAGGCTGTCACATCACTTCTCTCTGCTGTCGTGACGCCAGCTTTGAATGATGTTCACAAGAAACACAAAAACCACACAAAGCTGTGCAAGCAACCAGATACATTTAATTAGATAATTGCTTTGTTTCTTTTTCTTTTCTTTTTTTTTTTTACCTAAAGACAGACTCATAGTTTTCTAACAGTTGTGGTGGAAAAGAAAAAAGAACGAGGAACATGATTCTCTTTGAGCCTGGATGAAGCTGTAATTTCATCCAAAAGAAGACAATCAAACATCAGGGTTTAAAGTCGTGCTGCCCATGAGCTATTCTTGACGGGCCGGCGTTGGCAGTTTGAAGGGTCCTCAGTGTGGAGGTATTGTAGTCGAACCCCCATGTGACCGCACACTGATACACACACTTCAATAACAGGTACAGTGTTTGGTACACGAGGAGAGAAAGTATGGAATGATTGAGTTTACCGCATGAAAATAATCCCAACACCTGCAGTTATTGATGAATATAAATCATAATATGAAGGCAAAGAGGAAGCACAGTCTGTATACACACACTTCTTTCACAATAAAATCCTTGAACAGAGGCCTGTAGCGGGGAGGAGAGAGGGTGGACGGGCTGCTACTCTGTTCCCTTTTCTGAAATCACTTTTCTAAACTTAAAGTACAAAAGAAACTTTGTCAAACACATAAAGGGTTTTTGTTTTTATCACTTTTTTAACACTTTACTTAGACAGAAAAAGTCTGGCGTTAAAACCACGCGAGGTAAATGTCATATTTCCAACATGTTTCCACTTTGTTTTCAATCGTTAGAGCTTTGACTAACACTCTTTTAATGACATGATCCTGTTGCACTACTTCTACTACTACTTCTGCTGTGGTTTAATGGCACCCATTAACCACTAATGGATAGAAACTCACATTCATTTTTTATTTTTATTTTTTTACTGTTTTTCTGGAAATTTGTTTTAATTTGGATGGAAACCTGGCTGCAGACAAGATGAAACAACTCTGGAGAATTATCACTGTTGTAATTGTTTCACCTTTAGTTGCAATGATTGCAAAGTCAGCAGTAGAAATTCCTGGAACGGGCACTTGAACATATGCGATTGGCCAACGAGGCGCCTTGTCGGGTAAAACTTCGAGGACAATAAAAAATGTTTTTTCTTCTCATTCAAACTTCTAAAAGCCTCTGAAAACATTTTCTCAGTAACATTAAATCACGACTAAATTAGCAACAATTAAAATCAAACTTCATCCTAACCTGCTTCATCAGGACTGTGAGGTTTGATCAGATCCTGATTTGAATGTTGCTGTTGATTTAAAACTGCAACAGTCTGATCATAGAATAAAAACAACATTACATTCGTTTTTAATACTCAGCCCTTCAAAATGAGTTCCCCTTTTAAGTTACACACCCAATTAAAACTCGTCCTTCACAACAGGCCTCTGTTCTTACATATATTAACATACAATGCAGTTTCAATACTATTCTTTCTATAATAAACGTTATAAACAATATAAATATCTTAACATTCTCAACATTATTTCCTGTATTTGTTGAACATGGAGTGTTTGTGAACAGCTTAGGCACATCAAGGCACATGTCATACATTCACACAGTGCATCCGCCTTCCATCCACCAAACGCTGAAGATAAAAACATGCTATGAAATGTCGGTGCTGGATTAAAAATCTTATTTCTGACACATAAACAATGAAAACATCAGCTAACAGCATGCAGGATTATATATCAGTCTGCTGCCATCACACAGACTGGATGTGCGTTAATACAGCTCCTCAGATCAAATAAAATCATAAACTCCACTTCAAATACACGTAGTAAAAATAAAGATTGTGCTTTACATTATTGAGAGAATAAGGTTAACATGTAGCGTGCAATTCCACTAATAAAATTAACTCAGTCCTTTTAAAATCCATTTTTTTCTGAATCACTTAAATCTATAATCTCTGTAGTTTTGTTTATAAATGGCTGAAGCGACACCAAGAAAAAGGAATAAATAATTCTTAAAAATATATATATAGAAAGAACAGAACAACAGCAGTGATGTAAAAGAACAACATCCTCCAACAGTAATGCTAAAGCTGGAAACCTTGTTGTGTAAACCTCAGTATTAGTAGTTTTGCTAGTAGTGCAAACGACGGAAGAAGTAGTCAACATGAAGATGCAGAGGGATTTCAGAAACATCTCAGAGTGCTTTAAGACCTATTAAATATTACCTGACTGGAGCTTATCACATGCTAAGAGCAGACACAACACACTGAAGTTCTGTGAGGCTTTATTTTACAGGTGCATTATTTCTTAAGAGGAAGTTCACCAGCTAAAAACCTTAAGTGCTCTTTTCATCGTCTCCGTCTGACGAGACAAAATCCTGACGTTTTCAGTTTCCACATCTTCTCTTTCCTATTTATTCGACGCTGCGTATGCTGTTTACCATTTGCACTGTAGGTCTAATAACAAAATAATGTCTGAATTACATCTACAACCGATGACATGCATATTCATAAAAGCCATCAGCGCTTGATTTCCAGTTACTTCTGCCTTAAACATTTAACATTCAGCATTTGGAGAAACGATGGCTGAATATTTCCAGGAGACGAGGTTGAAAAGACGCTCCAGGTCATGTCAACACTGTCTCTATTTTCTCTATAATTGGCACCAAATTACAAAGTTCCTTCCAAAAGACAAATCTGGGTAATTATTAGGAAATGATGAACCTGTAAAACAAAGCATGACCACAAGCTCAGCTGCCGTCTGAAGAAGCTGCATGAGGACAGTGTTTTACAACAATCAGTGTCGATAATGTTAAAAAATGAAAAGTGTGAGAGCCATAATTAAAACATTTGTTTAGAAGACAGTATAAAACAGATCTATTGTGTGCTGTGTAAAATAAGAGGCACCGGATGTCCAGACCCAATCACTCGAGGACATGACGCGCAAACAAACAGATCTGACATCATGACAAACTAATCTCAGTCATTAGATACAATTTCACCATAAAAACACTCAGGAGTGTCACTGGTCTACACTTGATTTGGCCAAATTCATCCCGCCGCATGCTTGATTGCAACATTGTCATTCAAATAGCGCCATTTGCATGAGACCCTTTTTTTTTTTGTCATTACCACATTTAAAGAAGCAGCAGCCTCATGTTTTTCCTGGCGTCCCTGAAGTCCTCCTCGTCTCCGGCTCACACTCCGCCCCCGCTCCGGTCCACCGTCACCGGCCCTCTCTTATCCAGAGTCTCCTCCGCTGTTTTCATTAGGATGGCCAGGCGGCTGTCCGACACTTGTCCCTTCTTCACGGCGCACATCAGCTGCAGAGGAAAGAGTTGAGATGTTCAGACTCATGTAGTTTAGACGGGCAGAGTGTAACCAAGGTTATTTTCTGTAGCTACAATTTAACGATGTTCCCTAAACGCCTCACTTGCAGGCTATTGGTAGATGCTGGCGAGTAGCACTGTGCGAAGAAGTTCTTTTAAGTGTAACGAATCTCGAAAGACTCGTTCAAAAGATTTGTTCACTGTTGGTTCCGGAACCGAACTCTGTTTATAATTCCTCATATTGTAAAAGTTTGCTCGCTGAATATCGGAGATGACGCTGGTTTTAATGACTCTTAAGTCTTTTTAACTGATCTTGAACTGCTGACTGTCGCTCAGGCCTCACGTTCACTGTGATGTATGTTCAGTAAACGAGTCACTGAACATGCACCACTCACTGGTACAGCTCAGACAGGTGTGTGGCCACAAATGAGTTCGTTTGAAAAGAGTGAAATAAGCCCTTCTAAAGATTTACCTAAACTGAAATGGAGTGATTTTATCTATATAGGCGGGTCTTAATCTACCTGGGCGGGCCGTCCAATTAGAGCCGATGTTTGGGAAACGCTGCAGAGCATTGGGGACAACAGCGGGAAAGGTTAACTTGACAAACCAGCTCCTTTCCTCAGGTAGAAATAAATAAATGTACGACCCTGCCGCCACACAATCAAAACTTCAGATCACCTTCGCATCCTGCAGTTAGAGAGAACATGAAACCAACACCAACCGTGTTCTTCATGTGTTAAAGCTGCTGAACTAGGTTTGATTTGTTTGGTTTTGTTTTGTTTTCTACGTGACAATGACATCAGCCAGCGGTGCGGCAAAGAGAGATGCAGCCCTTTAAATATGCCGAATATATTTGACCAAATTAGATTCTGGCATATTTGAGGATATCTGAAAACTGACACCGGTGTTATTACTTTACGTTTCTGGGGTGTATGCTTTATGTTGGTTTGATTGGTGGGTGTGTGGGAAAAGTGTGTTATGTGTAGGTTGTTTGATTACAGAATAAAATCAAACCAAAACCAGTTTTATTAAAAAATAAAGTGTGTGTCATGGTCAAGAAGGAACATGTGTGTTTAATGCTTTTTGGAAACAGGAATAAGATTTATTTTAGACAGCGGTTGTTAATTGGATCAATTTGTTGTTGGTTTTAATCTTTTCATGGATTTATATTTATATATTTTAAATTCAGAATATCACTAGACTCATCCTTAACTACCAATGCATTAAGTTACCTAGTGCAGCTTTAACACTTCTTCAGTTTTTAGTCTGTTTTGACAGAATTTTTCCCTTCAGTTTTCCCCTTCAGATTTAAAGGCTGAAGGGAAGAATTGTGTAACTTTGTTGTTAATGTGAGAGGAAGCCCTTCTCAGGTCAGCCTTTTAGGACACACCGGGGTTACAGTACTGGTTCCCCGTCACTGCTACACTACCTGTTTGTGGTCCCTAAGTCATCCACGTGCAGGTCAGGTGTACAAACAAACAGAAACAAACATGGACAGTGAGCATCATAAAACACATGACATGCATCAGGTTTTTACTCAGACGGTCTCAACAATGAGGGATCTGGTTCGAGGATGTTTACACTCTGGTCCAGCTATGAGCTTGTTTCCTCGGTGAGCAGAGAAACCACTAATGAAGACTAAATCATCGACTGTCATCAAACTCTCCTTTAATGACTCTGAGGAAGTAATTCAGCAGCAGACAGCCGCCGGAGCTCCGGACACACTTCACCTCATTACACAAGCCGCTGACAGAGATTCTCTTCTCTCATTAGCTTCATCTGCTGAAACCTGCTGGTTTAGACTTCACACCTTCTGTGTGCAGGGACGGATGTTCACTGTTCTCACGTCTCAGGTGGACAACGGTCTTTTTTTTTTTTAACGACAGGATAATTTGTGTTTCAGATTTAATGGCCAGATAAAACATTACAGCATGTATAAAGAGGAAAATGTAATAATAATAATTAATATCATTATCATTCTGAAAACAACAGAAAATCTCCAAATTTCACCATAATTTCATCACAAAACAAGGCAGACGATTGAAGACAGAAAATGTGGCTGTACTGAAAAAAGTCAATGCCAGGTCCCCTGAGCTTCTATTATCCAGCCTTCATGTCCTCAGTCCTGTCTGTTCTGCCGGTGTGAGCGGGCCACACACTGAGAGAGGTGTTAGGTATTAATAGTCCCTCTCATCAGATGAAGCTGCACACACTCACACCACAACACACTCAGAGAGATGTTACCTTTAAGGTCAGTTTTGGGATCAGCGTTTGTTGTTTTTATCTTCCACGATTCTTTTAAATCTGTTGCAGCAACTTCATGAATTCATTTCTTGATTATTCCTGATAATAACACGTCAATTTCTACTGGAAACAGGTTGAAATTTTATTTTGTTCCTCTTTCCTCAGACGTAAATTTTCACATCTGTCAGCTCATTGTAAAACTGCCACTGATTGTTTAAACTAAACCTTTTTTACTTTTACTTTAAATTCTAACTTTTTATTTATGATTGAAAGTTAAAGATTTCTCCCTTTGGATCGTTCCATAGACAAGTTTTCAAATATCTAGTTGCTGCAGAAGAACGAGGACGCTCTAAAATAGCAACATAATAATAATAACATTTACCAAAATAATAAATGTTACATATTTTCTTTACTTGATTGGAAGTAATATGAGATTTTGTCCTTATGGTACTTGTGTAGCACCTTCATTAGCTTTATCAGTGAAAAAAGGCACGGCAGTTTTGTATCTGCTGATGTGAATATGTGCAGTTATTTGTTCCCTCTCCCGTCTGTGTGTGATGTACCTGCAGGAATTCATCAATTTCAACTTGTCCGTTCTTGTTGAGGTCCACCTCATTAAGGATTTCATGGAGCGCATTTTCATCAATGTGGACATTGATGCTCTGCAGAGAAGAAAAACAAGACCAGGGATCAATAATATACAATGAAAGACGGGTGTGAAAAGATAAAAGACAGACGGACAGAAAGAAGGAGGACAGGTGATGAAGGAAAACTCACGTCCAAAACTTGCTGGACGTCGACAGTGGTGATGAATCCTTTGCTCTCTTTATCGAACTTATGGAAACGTTTCTTGTATCTGTCAACAGATGAGCAGTTATTCACTCTGACATCACACAACAGTCATTATCTAATTTAAGGCTGATTTAATATGAATTTTATGTTGAGACGTTGTGACACTTTATTTCATTTTGTTGGAATAAAACCTATGAAACCAAATAAAGATGCTGAAACATAAAAATCTGACTCACAGTTAGTTTCCAAAAGAATTGTAACACATGTTAAATCATTATTTTAAGTTTTCTTAAAGACATTTTTTGGTGCTTTGGTACAGATATTAGAAATACAGACAGAATTTATATATATGTATAATATCCAACCTGTGCACTCTGTGTGTTCTATATCTGCAATATCTGCAGAACAAACTGAACTGATTCTGAAATTCTCGTGCTTTAACTGGTGTGATCACTAGAGAAATGAATCATGACAAAGAACAAACGAACAAATACATGACATTTAGCTAAAGTCACACGGTTTCAAATTTAGATTTGTTGTTTTTCTTCACATTTTCAATCTAAAAAAAGGCAGTTTTGAGACTTTTTATTGGCAACTTATCTACGACAATAACGACTGAATTCAAAGGTAAAAGTTTGGTTTCAGAACTTTTAAAGAAAATCTGCTGAAATGCCTGTAAAGCACTCGCTGCGAGGTGTTCTTAGTGTACACACAATAAGCAATAGCTGAGGGTGACTCAGATGACACATTCACTTCTTTTACCTGGATTACAGAGGCCGGGGGCAAACACACCAAGAGAAATTCCACTTTCAACAGACGGGAGATAATTACCTTACTACTTCCTGGTAGTCTAAGTTGATATCGGACGTCTTAGTCAGCTGTTCAGAGCGAGACCTGTAGCCCATCTCCTGGTACAAAAACTTCCTCGCCGCTTCGAGCTCCGCCTGGATTTCCCGTTAGCACAGAGAGAGAGAGTGTGAACTGAATCCCCTCCACTGTTCATAGTCATTTTATCTTCAATCATACGAAATGTAACCAAGAGCGCTTCTGTTGTCAGGGTTACCATGGTTAAACAGTAAAAAAAAAAACATGTTCATAGTGACTAAAGCTTTACAGTAAAACATAGAAACAGAGCTGAATACACATTTATAGTTTTACAGTCTTGTTTGTCGACACATTGTCAACATGTTCTCTGAAACTTTAAAAACACAAACCGAGACAATACCCGCATCTGTAATTTAAAATGCCCACGAGTTGTTGCTATTCATCGTTTACAGCTGCAACTAACGATTATTAGAAACTTTAGTCTTGGAAATGTCACAAACTAGTTTGATAACGCCCACCTCAGTTTCCCAGAATTCAATGAGAGGCCTTCAAATATCTTGTTTTGTCCAACCAGCACCCCAAAGATATTTCATTTACTATCATGCCAAAGAGAAGCAGCAGCATTTTTTCTTGATAAAAGTCTGAAATGGTGAATTGATTATTAAAATATTTGCCGATTTGTTACTTAATTATTAAACAAACTCTTATTAACTTATCACAGTTAACATATACTCCGTATTACATTTACACATGTTACTGCTACGTCTGTCGACTCTGTACATGCACCACCTGTTTCATGTCTGTCCGTCCTGGGAGTGGGCGACAGACAAATTCACGATTTCGGGATTTATAAATATATCTACTTAGCCATCTGTCTCTCCATGACCTTTTCTGCTCCTGTTATCTGAAAGCCCCTCAATGAGAGTTCTTAAAAACAGATAAATAAATATATAAAAGAGTCCACCTAAGCGTGGCATATATGGTTGGTTGGTTTTGGGTGATAGAGACTTTACTAACTTTAATAAAAACAGGAACATGTATTAAACTTATTCACGCAGTTGGAAGATTTTTCAAATATTGTTGAAAAACATGAAGAAATATTTCTGGGTGATTCTGCAGTACTTGGGTATTACATGCTGTTTTCTGCTGCGTAAAACGCTTCAGTCTTCATGCACACGGATGTGAAAACTTCCCGTCTCGTCGAGTAATCATCAAATTAGCTGTAGTTGTAAAATCCTACCGTCCTCTTCTCCTGACTCCAGTCCAGCTCTTTCCCCATGATCTGGACGATGCGTGGGAGGGATTCGTCCGCGGCCTGCACGTTCAGGAAGCCCAGGCGTGTTCGTCGGGCGATGACGTCAATGGCGGTGCAGGCGTACTCCTTAATCGCATACAGCACCTGCGGAGGAAGACACGTACTCACATGAAACGAAACAAAAAGCATCAAGACACACTATTAGACTATTCTTTGTTTGCATGAAATCCCGCTTTACCTCGCTCTCGATGTACGGGAACTCGGACACCAGTCTTTTCCCTACGATTGGCCATCTCTGCCCCGTGACCTGAGCCATCTTTGCCACGTCAAACGCCTTCGCACCGTACGTGGAGGCCAGGTGCTGTGCTACCTGTGCACAGAGAAAAAAATTTAATGTACGAGAAACATCTGTAAAAAATCAATAAATGTCTCAAAAAAATCTCCAAACAAAACAAATTTTAGAAATGTTCCACAGCTGTTGGGATGCTTTTATATTGTCAATTGTAAAATACACAGTAAATACAAAATACACATACAACAGTAACATCTTTATCTTTCTTTTATTATAACAGTCAGAGTGTAGCGAGGAGTTGCCTTTAAGCCGTTGCTTCCACAACACAGAAATTAGACGTTAGTCGTGGAAGATCCTGACCATCGATTTCACCTCTTCGGAGTTAAGCGATAAACGTTTGCGCCACTTTGTCAATGAGGTGTCACATGTTTACAGAACACAAGGGGTCTATTTGCCATTCAGATCGTCGGCTCGCCGATCATGTGGAAAGGGCAAACGCCGTCCAAATATCAACAGTGACCTTTTAGGGAGATATGAGAGAACAGCAGAGCCGGTGCAGAACGCCTCTAATGAGGAGTAAGTATATCGCAGGCACAAGTACTTTTTCTTCATGAAACAATGTCCTATTGGACTTAATGAAAACGCTCAGGCTAATTATTGGAAAGATGGCATGTAGCTGATGTAAATCAATGTGCCCTTACTTAATGCCATTGATAAATTGTTGAGCATACAGTGCGTTTCATCGTATGTCCAGTCTTTTGTGTAGTGGAAATGTCAGCTTTGTTACAGCAGCACCTTTAATGTCAACTCCACTGCCGCTGCAGCTGCTGAAGAAGAAGAAGACAGCGAGTGTGTCTGAGTGAGCGAGGGTTGTTAGTAGATGAATGTATGTGAATGTGTGTATCTGGTCTTGTGTACAGCAGGTAGTTAAAGGTCTCCTCTCTTCTACGCCTCGCCATGCTGAAATGTTTTAGTACGGTAAACTGTTGTAGGAGCAGAGCAGCGATGAAAGAAATAATTAATGGAGGTGTTTGATTGAAGGTTATTTTATGAAACACTGTGCAGCATCCTGAACTCTGACTGTCACAGTGAGGGTGGTACAACTGTGCCTGTGCAGAGACCAAAACCTAAACCTGTAGTTACTGATCGTCCCTATTCCCTACGCTGTGTGAAGGGACAGAAGATAAATGATATTAGAGATAAACTGTCATTTGTCAAAAAAATAGCTCAGACATGCAACTCCTCCTAAAATCATCAGTTTTGAGACTGATAATAATTTTGATTGTCTTATTAAACTCTCTGTCTCTCTCTGACCTACATTAACAAACTACTCCATATATACTCCATACACTCATCCACCTTCTGCTCTTCTTTATGTTTCTTACCTCGATCTCCAGGCCGTAGTCCTGCACCAGGCGGATGTAGAGGGTGGGCGTCCAGCCCTTCGCCCCCTCCAGCATCAGACCAACAGTCTTGCAGGACTCAGCAGAGAGGCCGTGGGCTTTGATTGCTGCGTCCAGAGTCTCCTCAGCCATGGATCTGTAGGTCGTCCACTTCCCACCTGGACGTAGACAAAATTGTGCATCGATGCAAAAGATAATAATCATCAAAATTTTCAGAAATTCAAGACAAAGACAAAGATGAACTGACCCGCGATGGTGACCATTCCACTTTCACTGGTGCTGACAATGTGGTTCCTGCAGATGGACTGAGTGTCTTTGGAGTTGGGGTCGGTCACCAGGGGACGGATGCCGCTCCACGCTGCCAACACGTCTCCTCGGCGCACTGCACACAAGCCACACAGACACATACACAGTCACATTTCACTCTGTAGGACAAAGACGAACCGAAACACTCCACTCTGAACCAGAGCTAAATTGTTAAATAAACATTCCTTAAGCTAAGATGAAAAGGTTTTACTTTCTGTACACATGAGTGGCCTTCTGTAGAAGTTCTAACATACAATATATTCATATATTTATCCTTGAATGGGACCTATTACAATCTCCATTATATTTTAAATGAATCTCATTGTTGTAGATTGTATTTTTATGTTCCTTCTTCTATATTTCTTACTTTACAATAGGTGGGTTATTGTTGCTACTGGTTTCATATGGCTTGGTTTTAATCACATAACATGCGAACGATACACAAACAAAAAATACAGATATTCAAGCCAACACCAGTTGCTTAAAGGACTAAGAGTTGTTAATCTGTGACGATAAAAATAATAAAATAAAAACACAAATCTCTCCTTCAATTTCTTATGTTTCCTTCCATGTTTCCACTATATCCTGAGCTTTTTGTGAGGAGCTTTTTCTCGTCTTTAGGACTGTTATGAGCATAAAGCAGCACTGAGACATCACATGTGATCTTTGGGTATACAAATAAACTCTGTTTAACTTTCTACATGTTTGCTTTTTGACTTGCTGTTCTGCATATTTCTCAAAACATACAAAAAACCATCAGTGAACTTGAAACGTGTTTCAGGACCGTAGGAGCAGTTAGCATGGGTGTCTACTGTCACTAATGGCAACAGCAACCATAAGAAACTGAACCGGCCAGGTGATGTCTGGTAATGGAGTCAGTTAGACAGCGTGCTCTTCAAAACAAACAACAAGAAAAACTCCTGTACCTCCACGTCAGCGCTGAGGTAGTTCCGAACCTCCCTCAGGATGAAGTGATGTCGTCCTCCCCCGGGATCGGGTGAGCCGTGACGCTGGTGGGGTGTCTGTCGTGCCGGCGATGGTCATCTTCTCCCAGGGCAGGAAGAAGATGACACGTCCGTCGCTTGTGCCGGGTCGAGCAGCCCCATGTTGTCAGGACTGTGGAACAGAAACAAACAAAAAAGGATTCATTAATAAAACAAATACTTTATTATTGTTACTGTCTCATGGTGTGGCTGCTATGATGATTTTATTTCCTGTCTAATTTACTGCATTTGTGTCTGAGAGAAGAAATCAAGAGTTAGGAGGAGGAGGAAGAGCTGAAAAAAGAAAAAGGTGGAGAACAAAATGAGGAGGTGAGGAGTTAGAGAGGAAGAAAATAAGAGAAAAAGGCGGGGGGGGGGTGGCAGATAGCGGCAGGAGAATACGAGAGAAAGGAAGGAAGAAAATTAGGTGGTTGGCATTTCTGCCGCTGTTCAAAGGGCTCGCGCGCTCCCTCGGGTTCGCTCAATAAGCTTCGATGAACTTTAAAACCCCCGACTTCAACAAAACCACTCTACTGCTCTGCTGTGTCTTAACCAGGAAGAGTGTCTTATGCATGTAGGTATAGGTCAGATTGATATTTAGCCAGATTAGTATTTACAAAGAGGATGAGAAAACACAGAGGAATAAATATTTACAAGTTCATGCATTTGAAATAGCAGGAGTAAATGTAAGTTGAAAACAGGGACTGTGTACGGCGTTGTGTCGTACCTGTAGTAACCTGGCATAACGATGTGAACACCGGCGCTGGGTTGGCAGATGTTTGAGGTTTCCTGGTTGTCCACTCTTCCTCAGTGAGTCTGTGAAGGGTCCGGTGGCGTTGATCACACACTTGGCCTTCACGTCAAACTCCTGTCCTGTTACAGAGAGGGGAGATCAAGTGTGTTTGGTGTTCCAGTGAAAAATAGATCTCAGTCAAACAGGAAAAGTATCTACAGTTTACATTTAACACTCAGAAGAAAGAAGCCAAATGTGTTACTGAAAACATTTGAAGCAAGAGGACTTTTCCTTCATATCATTTCCATGCGACACAGTAACATTTGAAACGTACTTAATTAATGTATTTTCACCCCTTTGAAATGACAGCCAGTCAGACTTCTCTTTAACTCTTTAATGATATCTATTGACCTTTCAAGTCTGACCTAATCACACTTCAAAGTGGATTCTCCAGTCTCTCTGATGACTGGAGAGGACTCAAGGACTCAAGGACGCTTTTATATGAATTTATATTTTATATGAAAATAAAACCAAACTTTAGAGCATTAGGCATTTAAAAATTGCGCAAAAGACTGCGCGCCTCACCTGTGATGACGTCCCGGCAGCGGGCGCCACACACCTTCTCCTTGCCCGTCTGCGGGTCTTTTGTCTTCAGCAGGGCACCACCTCAGTGTAGTTGCGATGCGCGCGCCGTAGCGGGCGGCGGTGACGGCAATGGCGAGGTTCATTCGCGCGTTATTGTGCTGGCCTGCGGGGGACAGAGAAGAAGTGAGAGAGAGAGAGAGAGAGAGAGAGAGAGAGAGAGAGAGAGAGAGAGAGAGAGAGAGGTTTTAGCATATTGAAAGTAAAATTAATAAGATAATTTGTTTTAATCATTTTTTCACTTTGTTATAGTTGTGGCCAATCGTGTTCTCGTCTATTGTCTCTGAAAACCTCCAGAAAGGAGATTTTGTTTTCTTCCTTCTGGCTCCTGTAAGGAATCTGTCTCCTATTGTACAACCTATTTTTCTAATCCTCCACCAACGTTGTGTGTGCCTTATTGTCTGCAGGGTGTTGTGTTTACAGACAGTTTCGTGAGCCGATTTCTTACCCAGACTGACTTAAAATGTTGTGCAAAAAAAGTAAAAACAAGCTTGTTTCCTAAACCATTTTCCTGTTAGACAAAAGCAAAGGTAAAACTCAAAACAACACTGGGCCGACGATACAGGAAGCCAGATCACTTTAAAATGACAAGAATATACAGCAGGCACTTTATTCAGTATCAAAATATGCACGACTCATTTTTAAACAACTGTATTTATTTCCTATTCATGCCAAATACCTTTGTTCAACATGCATGTTAAAGGTGTACTGGATTACATTATAATAAAGCACTTTCTCACTTTTGTCCTTCCTATTTATATACCATGGGGGGGGGGGGGGGGCACTGGTAACAAACCACTGTAGATGCATTTCCAGAGGGCTGGGAGCATATAAACAAATATAGCACCCAGCTTATTCAAAAACAGGAAGATTAGGCCCACACATTACGCTGTCCTGTGTTTGTGAGAATAAAAAGAGTCTCTGCTGTTGTTGTGGCAGCAGGAGCGGCGGTAACCAAGACAGCGGGAGAAATAGCTGTGCTCAGCTGGTCCGACCGACGACGCGTCGCTCCTCTGCGCTTTACACCGCCGGAGGAAGAAGTCAGATTTCGAAATGTCACGGGCGTGATTGTTCCAGAACGGCGTAATGGAGAAAGACGCCCCACCCCTGCACCATCCCGGCCCTGTCCCCCTCAGAGCAAGATGATGGTGGGGAGTGGAGAGGAGGAGGAGGAGGAGAGGTGGAAATCAAACATATGCTGCTTGCACCAAGAAAAGTGCTCTTTCCTTTTTCCAGCTGCATAAATCCAGTTATAAAAATAATTTGGAGAGAAAAAGGAGTTTGTTTGTGGTTTAAAAATGAAACTTTCATATTTAATGTGCTAACATTTGCCAAACGTTGAAAAACCATAAAATAAGAGTAATTAAAAGCATCATCTAACAAAAAACAGCTACCTGTTGTGATTGGACAGACGAGCTGCTACGTCAGTGACCTACAGTTAACAGACCCATCACCCGCAGAACCAAAGTTGTTATTTTCAGTGCGGAAAGGAAACAATTGCCGGAGGCATGAATCTTCCTCACGCCAGCTGGACACTCAGCATATGTTTGGCTCTCCTCCGCGCCCATCAAGGGAACACGCAACCTTTAACTGCCACAGGAGGAGAGGGCTCCCTACCAGCCTGTCAACACATTTCGCCAGGGACCATGGACATGAGAACGCCACAGGCGGGATTTACATCTGAGGCCTGTTCTAAACAGAGAATCTTTAATCTCCTGTTTGGTTTAATCACACAAATTCCTGCACTATTTCTATTAATATGACAACTATTCAGAACACAGGCCTCTTTTAATTTGCATTGCTGTACAGGCTGTGCGATGCTTTGTTGATGCTAATTGTGCAATTTGTCAAACTACAACAACAAGTTCCCACAAAAGAGAGACCACACCGTGTTTAGCTCAGCAAATAAATGGAGTACAGGTTGAGCTATGGAAAAACAGACAACTGAATTTTCTGAAAATATCATGAGTCAATATTTAAGGTTTAAAACAAAGTATTGTTTTTGATTATCTTCTATGTCTTTAAACATCTCCTGACCCTCGCTCTGTCTTGTGACACCCTTTAGGAGGCCCTTGATCTGCGTTACAGGAATGGCATATTTTTCAAAAAATTCAAAAAGTCATATTTTCACAGGACGTTGAGGCATTTTAAAACCATGTTTTCACAGGGTTTTCAAGACCGTTTATTCATAATTTACTCAGCACAGAGAGTCTCCCCCTTACACAGCTCTACTTTAAACCATATGCTCTCAGGTTCAATTGTCATTTCATCAATCCATCACTGGCTGATTAATTCAAAGCCTTACTTAGGAACAAGAAGGGAAACAGAAAGACGACTCAGCTGCTTTGTTCATGTTACAGAAAATAAAGAGAAAAGTAATGAATCCACAAAGAAAGAGATTAGTGTCCACACACATGGTGGAGTCTATGTGAAACATCCAGATCAAGCAAAAAAACGCAGAAGGCCGCGAAGCAAACAAGGCCGTACAAGAGAAGAAAAAAATAAAAAAGGCGGCAGAGGAAAGAAGAAGCTTCCTTCGCTGCGACTTCCTCCATGTCTGCTTGAGCAGCATTCGCGACTTGGAGATGCTAATCTTCGCCTGAGGCCTCTCTGTTAATGCAGTTTCTTTTTTCTGAGTGGTTGAAAGGATGGCAAAAGGGCAAAAACAAAAGAAGAAAGGAAGAAAAGAGACACTGAGGCCATCTCTCTCTGTTCTTG